GCCTTGAGAGGGGGTGGGGGGACTGGAGGTTGGAAAAATTTGGAGGGTTTCAAGGGTGCCGTAGGCAACGAGTTATGCATGCAAGGGGTGGGTGAGACTGGGTGAATGGATTGGGATGGTGGGATGTGAGGGATGAAGAGTGGTGCGTTGGGAGGGCCCGAGGGCAGGGGCCAGGAGCGATTGCTGACTGAGGGGTGCCCGCCGATGGGCATGGCGGGGGCGTAGCCGCGCCGCGTGACGATGCGGGGGAGTGGTAGCCGTTCGCATCGCCACGCGACTGCTGCCTGGTGTGCCACGCAAAGGGAGCTTCAAACAATCCAGGGGGATCCCTTCACTCATCAACGCCACCACCCTCGAGCGCTCTTGCCCTCCTGGTAACGCTCCCAGTAACACTGATCAGTCCAACGCCCCCAGCCAGTCCGTGTGTGCACCATCAGTTGTCATTACGCTGCAAGATTTGCTCACGCGTGCACACGCGTGTGCGCACACGCACACGCGCATGTTCACACGAAAGTTCACACACACACACACAAACACACACACACGCACACACACCCGGCACCCCCCACCTTGATGAGGGGGTGCAGCAGCGCCGACCCAAAGCCGGCGAGCCTCATGCGCGGCAGCAGCCTCTTGAGGCTCCGCAGCACGCTGCGCCGCACGTCCAGCGGCGTCACGCTGACTGCGGGCGACACCAGGCGCATCAGGGCCGGCAGCAGCAGGTGGAGGTGCTCCTCCAGCGCCACACCTAGGGCCTGGGGGGTTGAGGGTTTTAGGGGGGGAGATGAGACGACCGCAGGCAAGGGTCAGGTGGGAGGGTGGACTCGTCAAGGCCCATCGGACAGGCACGCACAACCCCCTGTGGGTGTCTGTGGTGGCGGGTGCAGCTGCAAGGGGGCCTGTGGCCTGCCTGCCGTACCGATGGAGTGCGGAGGCGACGAGCTTGCGGTGGGGCGCCTGGCCCGGCAGGGCCCTCTCGTGCCGGCGCCGCCCCAGCACGTGCCTCGCCCCCCGCC